CCCTCCCTCCCTTCCCCCCTCCTCACTACCATTCCTCAGGAGAACTCTTCATCTTGCAACATTGGAGCTATAAGTTTGCTTCTTTTCCAGCGTCTGTTTTTCTCCTTGTGCTCTGTGTGTTTCGGTTTTCTTGAAGGGTGAAGTTCCTCCCTGCTACTTGGTACCTCCAGTTATCACGGTGTTGATTTTTCCTTGACAGTGGATCACATGTTCTCATTCCTTTGTATGTCAAGTAATTTTTTATTGCACACTGGATACTGTAAAGTATTGTAGAGATTCTGGATTCTGTTATACTCTTGTGAAGAACTTTTGTCTCAGTAGGTGGTTAGCACGACAAGGCTCAAGCGCAAACCCCGGTCCCTGTATTAGCAACAGCCGAGATCGCTCATTTCTCTTTCAGCTTTCAGCTGCTGGTTCTTTTTCCTGTGACCCCACCCCTACCTCCACTCCCCCAGGTGACTTGCACATGTTAGTTATTTGCCAGGTTGCCCCATCTCCAGTTCCCTCCCTTTCAGGATTTTTCTTCAACCTTGTGACTGCTCTTTCAGCCTGGACTCTGGCTTCCTGAACCGTGTCTCATAGGGGTTGGCCCGTGTCCTCAGGCAAAAGGTTACAGGTTGCCAGAGCTCACCCCCGTACTTCTGAAGGTGGGTAGCCCTCCGGTTTCCCTGCTTTTGGTTCTTTAATTCCTTCAGATAACTTCAGATATGTTGAGATTTTATCGTTGCTGTCCATGGCAGGGTGGCACAGCTGTCGGTGTTGGAAGGCAGAGGCCCTGTGGGCTTGGCCCAGTCCTGTGTTAGCTGTGCTGTGGAGGAAAGGGCTTCTCCTCAGCGAGCCACGGGAGGGTGGCCAAAGGCTGGTGGTGGCTCACAGTGGCGGACACGCGCAGGAGGCTGATGTCAGGGTGAGGTCGGGTGCTGGCTGCGCTGGCTTCGGGTGAGGGCTCCCTGCTTGCAGGTGGTGCCTTGCCATGTCTTCACGTGGCTTTTCCTGTGTGTGCAGGTTCTGGGGTCCCTTCCTCTTAGGGGGGTCAGGGCCCCACCCTTGCAGCCTTGTTTCCTCAGCTTCTTAAAGGCCTCATCGCACTTCGGACTCACCGCAGGGATTGGGGTGGGGCCCAGTTCAGGCCCAGCAGAGCTGTCTGAGCTCAGGATGGGACAGGCACGGGTCAGGAGGTAGAGCATACTTCAGGGGTGACCCTAGGACACATTTAATCAGTCACCATGCAGGCCCAGAGCCCAGTGTGTCTGGGAGCAGCGTGAAGCCCTGGGGCCTCAGTTATGGACGCATCTGGCTTTGGGCCTGTCCTCACAGAGCTGATAGCCTAGGAGAATAAAAATTAGAGCCATTGCTGTGTGATGAAGTAGGGGACTTTGAGCTGCCCTGGGGACATGAAGGAAGGGGCACTCACAGAAATGAGCAGGTCAGGGATGACCCCCGGGAAAACACCTCTTTACAGCAAAATGCAGAGGAAGACCAGGAGGCCACTGTGGGCAGAGAGTGCTGGGACTAGGCAGGGTGCAGTGGGCAGGAGCAGCTGAGGGGTGAGGAGGTGGAAGGGAGCTGGGGGCCGGGGGTCTGGGGCGAAGGCTAAGGCGCCTGGGCACATGGGGCCGTCCCTCCCTCCGGGTGCTCTCACTGCCAGTCCCTGTGGTGCTCGACTGGAGACACGAGCCTGCGCCTCGGCGTCCTGCTTGGCAGGGAGGTGCGTGGTACGGTTTCCGGGGCCCCTGCGTGATGACCTCAGCACCCTGCCTCCAGCCTCTAGGTCAGACACCAGGTTTTGTGGTTTCAGGCGTGGACAGCGAGTCGGCCTCCAACAGCCTGCGCTTCAGCAAGGCTTGCCTGAAGAGCGTCTTCTCGGTCCTGCTCATTTTCATCTATCTGCTGCTCATGGCTGTGGCCGTCTTCCTGGTCTACCAGACCATCACAGACTTCCGCGAGAAGCTCAAGCACCCAGTCATGTCTGTGTCGTACAAGGAGGTGGACCGCTATGACGCACCAGGTACAGCTGCAGGCCGGCCATCCCTGAGCAGCCGGCCGCCCCTGCCGGAGCTGGCACTGCACACACCTGAGGGCTGCATCCGGGCCCAGAACGTGCATGCTTGCTGAGGGCAGGGCCGACTGGGGTGGTTGGTGTGCTTTGCAGAGAAGCCCATCAGAGCTGGGCTTTGATGTGCCTGTGTGTGGGGCGGGCAGTGGGGCTGTAGGAGAGGGAGGAGGAGGAGCCCAGGGGTCCGTGGGCGGTGGGCCAAAGCAGGTTCGGGTCAGGAGGGCACGGGGAGGAGGGCCTGCCCGGAGAGGAGCTCTGGGCCCCAGTGAGCACATCTCCTGCCCCTATGGGTGTTGGGTGTCTGTCCCTGCTGGGATGTCATCTACCCTAGAATGGACCATGCTCTGGAGCAGAGCTGGAATCAAGGGGCAGACAGGGCTGCCTGAGCTCTGTAGCTCAGACCCTGCCCACTAGGGTATGTTTCACTGTGCCCAGATGCCCCTGCTGCACAGGGCAGAGCCAGAGCTGGGAACCTGCTGCTGATTCTCCCTGACAGTCTGGCCTCTGTCCTGTGTCGTCCCTGCCTCTCCAGGTGTGGGCTTTGATTGCTCAGGGTGTCCATTGCCCACTGGCCTCTTGTCCTTTGGGCACGCCACAGCTGTGATCAGGGAGCCAGGCGGGTGCCTGGCTGGGCTGGCTTCAAGCAGAGATGATGCTGAGGCAGAGCGAGGGTATCCTTCAGCCCAGAGGAGACCAGGCCATTTGCAGGTGGATGGCAGGCCTGGGGTGGCATAGCTGGGCTCGGTCACAGTGCCCTGTGGAGGAATGGGGCAGGTGTGGGCAGCAGGAGGCTGGTGAGGGTGCCCCAGCCTACTTCCTCCCCCGAGTCAGAGGGCAGGGTTGTGGCTCCCCCACTAAGGCCCTTCCTTTCCTGTCTCTCGAACATCACCCAGGCAGCCTGAACGAAGTTCCTGGAGGGTGTGAGACCCTCTCAGGCTGTAGCCAGGCCTTGTTGTCAGTGCTCCAGACATTGCCTTCTCCTGTGTGTGCCCAGGTATCGCCCTGTACCCTGGGCAGGCCCAGCTGCTCAGCTGTAAGCACTACTATGAGGTCATCCCGCCTCTGATGAGCCCTGGCCAGCCTGGTGACATGGACTGCACCACCCAGAGGATCAACTATACACACCCCTTCTCCAATCAGACCATGGTAACTTCTGTCCCCTACCCTGAGCGCCTTCTGGGGCCTCATTACCCCGTGTGCATGGGAACTGGGAGACACAAGGCTGGGCTTGGTTCCTGTATGAGAGACCAGGCCCCTGGCGGTGGGAGTGGCTGGTGTGACGCAGTGATGCTCGCCCCCTGCCGGATACCTTTGGAACCCTAGGGAGAGACTGGCTGAGCCACCACTGCGGAGCTCAGGGCCCAGAACCCCACATTCTGAGCCAGTTTACCAGTATAGAGGTGCATTGGTAGGGGTGAGGACTCCTGGCCTCGCTGTCAATCACAGGGCAGCCTGGCTGGGGACAACGACAGGACGACAGGATGAGGCTCTGGGTTGCCTGGGTGACGTGGCACCCGTTCAGAATCGGGAGATGCAGAGGGCTTCGTGTTTATTTACATCTTGACTGTATCGTCCCATCTTCCAGGAGGGATAGAGTTGGCTGCATGAGGGTTTTCCCGACTGGGGGAAGGAAAGGCTTTCCTCTGCAGCAGCAGCCCCAGCTGCGAGCAGCGTGTGACATGCGGCACCGCCATCTGCTCCTCCGGCTACAGGGCCAGGCTCGGAGATGAAGGCCTCACACAGAGGCTTTTTCACTCATTTGTTTCTTCTAGTTTCCTCTCCACATTCTTCCAAAATGGTTCTTACTCCTGAAAAAATGAAATAGAATAGGAAAGGGGATCAGTGCTAACCCATGAACTAAGAGGGGACCCAGCAGGCCAGGAATTTTGAGGGACTGGTGTAAAATGCAAGTAGCAGATGGGGCTGGGGACGGTGAAGGCAGACAGGCCTGAGCTGGGCCTCTGCAGCAGGGGCTGTGCTGAGGAACTGGCTCATGGCGCCAGCGCGAAGCCACCTGGCCAGAGAGCAGGGCTGCGCAGGCGACTGCCTCCTTCGCCCTCTCGGCAGAGCCGTGAGGGTGCCCTTGCTGCGGGCAACAGCCCTGGCACCCTCTCTACACCAGGGAAGCCCTGCTTCTTCTCCAGGGTGGCTCATGGCCCCTCTGTGCAGGGCTGAAGCGCAGAGGGCAGGCCAGTGTGGGGAGACAGCACCCCTGTGCTTGTCACCCACACCTTTCCTGGTTAAAGGAGAGTAGAGAAGTCCTGGTCACTGGACAGTGCTGTGAGACCCACAGCAGAAGACAAGGACCATGGTGGACGAGCCGAAGCCACTCAGGAAGAGGGAGACTGTCAGCACTAGTGACGCAGAGGGAAGCAGGTGTAAGAGCCGGATGCAGCGCGGCATCTGCAGAGACTGTCTGACTCCCAGCTGCCTCACTCCCATGGGGTGCTGTGAGACTGTCTGACTCCCAGCTGCCTCACTCCCGTGGGGTGCCGTGGGGACAGCTTCCCAACCTCTGGTGAGGAGGACGCCGCCAGACTTCCTTAGCCCATCCTGCGTCTCACAGTAGCTTGTGACACCGCTGGACAGCTCAGAAGCCATGAGATTAGGGCCCCAGGCGCTGCTCCCAGGAAAGTGTGGAGGTGCTTCCCGCGCCCACTGTGATGGTGGTTCTTCTCCAGTTCCTGCAGCCCCAGCTGTGAGCTAACAACTCATCTCTCTCTCTGTCATCCCAGCTCCTTGTGGGGAATTCAAGGCCAGACTGGGTAGTGAGGCGAGACCCTGTTTTAGAAAGAAAGAAAAACAGAAAGAGGACAAAGATCTGAGCAGTGGAGCTTCCTGGGGGAGAGGAGGTGTGAAGTGTGCCTGGCCCCTGCCTGCAAGCTTTGGGGGGCCCTTCTGGGCAGGCGGTGTTCCCACTCTGTTGAGGCAACTCCTGGTCGCTAGGAGCCTTGCCTTGTCCTGATCCCAGGACATTTCTGCAGCGACAGGAGGAACCCTGCTCAGTCTGTTCCTGCTTATGTCATCATTTGCAGAATGGCCTCGAGGCTGAAGTCACAAGGAAAGGGGATGGCCTGTGACCCCGTCTTGCTCCCCCTGCAGCCATGCAGGGGGCAGAGGCACGAAGGCCCAGTGGCCCCGCAGGGGTCTCGCTGGCCAAACTCCAGGACACCAGTGACTTGGTGCTCTCTCATCCCTGCCCGGGCACGGCCCTGCCTCTCCAGCCTGCAGGATCTGTGTCTGTGCCTGTGCCCTAGCTCACTGTTTCCCTGTCTCCCCGAGGGAGCCCATTGCATCACTTCTAGGAGTTCGCTGCCATAACAGCCCCACCCCGGGTTGCGTTGGTCAGAGTCTAAAGTGGGCCACCTTGTTATGCGAATTGTGCCCCTGATATGCGAATTGTGCCCACAGGAGAGCAACCTCTCCCCTGAGACCTGTCTGGGCACTGGGCAGGTGGTGCTGAGGGTGGTGGTGCTGCACAGGGTATCTGGCAGCAGCTTCTCTGTGTCTCTGCCGGGCCCTGGGCAAGTCCTACCCTGTGTGGTCAGCACAGGCTCACCGTCTCCCAGGAGGTAAGAAGTGTAGGGTGAGTGGCTCGCGGCTGAGGGGCGACCTGGACTGCACGAGTCCCTTTGCCCACATTCTGGGACCCAGGTCCTGCTGCTCCGCCCTGTAGCCTCAGTCTCCGTCTTGAGCTAGTCAAATGGAAGAAGAGGACATAGAGCCTTTGGCCTTCTCGGTCACACAGCTCACACATGGACAGGTTGGAAGTCAGTGGACAAACCCAGGAACAATCTGACAGGTGGTTTGGCAACGAAGGTGACAGCCCCTGTAGGACGCAGGCACGGGGGGGGATTCACCTGGCTCATGTTGCCAGGAGACTCTGGCTCTGTCCACTGAGGCTTAAGTCTCAAGTGCTAGGGCACAGCCCAGAGCCATTTGTGGAATCTAGCAAACCCTGTGAGACCCAGGCGATACTGTTACCTTGGTGTAGCTTGATGCCCGCACACCCTCAGATCTTTAGTCATAAGCATGAGAATTAAACCCGACATACAGCAGCCTCGGTGTGTGTAAAACTTGGTGAGAACTTTCAGTGATCTTGGACCATTTAGAACAGTTGATATAATGTTTTTTTCACATTAACCCATTGGGTTTAGTTTTATCACAGTTAAAAGTCCTACTAGATCTTTTTGTGGAACTGAACAAACCGAGGTGCACTTAGAAGAACTCATGTACAGGAATGCCCCGGACACACTTGGGGTTGGCAGGAGCCACAGGGCAGGGAGCTGCCTGGTGGTGTCGCCTTGCAGGCAGTAAGGTGGTTGAGTGTCACAGTGGTGTGTGTGCACTGGGACAGGTGCACATGTGAAGCCAGGACTGGACATCAGGGTCCCTTAGAATGCAAGGCTGAGGCCCAGTGGCTGAGAAACCTAGGTCTGTCCTGCCGGGGGCCAGATTGCTGCTCCACACTATATTCAGCACCAGAAGTCAGCAAAGAAAGTATCTGAATGGAGCAGTGGTTTTTAAAAGTTCTATGAAGAAAGAGCTAGACCACTGATCTAATTTTGGCTTACTTTAGCAAGCAAAGCCCAGAAGCCATAAAGAAAAGGACTTACAGATTTCACTGTATTAAATTTACAACTTCTAGGCAGGGGATGCAGCTCAGTGGCATGGTACCTGCTAGGCGAGCGCAAGGTCCTGAGTTTGAGTCCCAGTACCCCCCAAAAAGAATTTTTTTTAAAGCTTCTGTAGAACATGTGACATTAGAAACAGCGTTAAATGAAATGTGGTAGGCTGGAAGAAAGCACTTGCGAGTACAACAGACGACAGGCAGCAGCCCTGGGCTCCCTGGGGCAGGGGTCTGCGAAATGCTCCCCGTGAGGAGGCTCTGGCCTTTGTCTCCCTACAGAAGTCCGCCCTGGTGGTTCAGGGGCCCCGCGAAGTGAAGAAGCGGGAGCTGGTCTTCCTGCAGTTTCGCCTGAACGGGAGCAGCGAGGACTTCAGTGCCATCGACTACCTCCTCTTCTCCTCCTTTGAGGAGTTCCTGCAAAGGTGGCTGGCACAGTTGATGGTGGCTTCACTGTCTGCATTTTCTTCCCCTGGCATGTTTGCATGCTGGGAGCAGAGAGGGTGGCATGGGACCTGCCCTGTGGAGGTATCCCCACCCAGGCACAGCTAGCCTAAGCTCAGGCAGCTTGGACGCAGTAGGGCCAGTCGGCGGGGCAGCAGCTGCCTGCGGACACTGCCTTGGGGATGCTGCTGCGTCTGCTGTGGCGCTCCCAGCGGGAGCATCTTCTGCTTTTCCCTGCAGGGTGCCCCCAGGCCGGGCTCTGTGCACAGGCTCAGGGAGGCCGCACTTGCTGCCCCCACGCCCAGTGCTGCTTGTGCTTCCCATTCCAGAACTGGAGCCTCTGTCCTCTTCACCCTCTGTGCCACCTTCAGCCCCTCCCTGCCCTGCTGAAAGCCCGTCTGCCCTGTTTCCTCCCTGGAGACCCTTCTGGAGCCAGGCACTTTCCACTGAGGCCCTCCTGGCGGGTGTCTCCTTGGCTGGGTTTCCCAGAGACCTCTTTGGAGAGGCCAGTAAGGGCTCCGTGGGCTCTGCTCCTGTGGACTTCTGTGTGCAGCTCCTGAGAGCTTTGCACACGCATTGAAACAGC